AAGTTAGAATTTGAAAGAGAGGACCCTAAAACCATAGCAGATTTTTGGGGCTGAATTTCCCAAGTTCCACACGTGCGGCCTAAGGTCCCACACGTGTGGAAAACAAAACAGAAAATGTTAACGGACTGCTTCAATCCACACGTGCAGTTTAGGGCTCCCGCATGTGCAGTTTGGGGGCACTACTTGGTTTCATTTTTGCTTCATTGTTCAACCTTCCTAGCCTCCGTTTGCATCGTTTTAAAGTGTTTTCCATGTGCATTGCATTCATATGCATCTTTTAGGCACAAATACAAAGTAAAGAATGAAATTTAGAATTGAATGAGAGAAACCAAATAGAAATCAAGTAATCAAATTGAATAGAATTGTAAGAGTATGATTATAATTGTATTGTGCTTGACTTTATTTCTTTAGGTCGGACACCTAACTATTTGCACGTGTTTCGAGGAGCCCACTGTGAGTAACAATGTTGTAAAGCTATGTTCAATTGTACTTATTTTGTAATCGATTAATGTACTGCTTTCTGAAATGATATTGTTTATTGAACAAATGATTGTCTTATTTTGTCAACTGTACTCGTGGCATCCATAACAACTGTTACTGCTACTGCTACTGTTACAGAGATCTCTGTCAGTTCCAATTTTTGGAACTACTATTACTGTATTGATGCCCGTCAACTGATTATTCAGTCTTTAAAACCTACTATATTGTTCTGCTATTGGATGTACCACATATGACTGCTATGATTTCATATGGCTATGAAGTGTCTGAAATACTACTTGTGAATTTATTCACTATTGAATCTAGCTATTTAGAATTGTTATAAGGACATTATTCATAAATCCCTTTACACATTTGTTATTTACTGGGCTTTAACTCACTGTTTATTATATGTATATATGTGATCAAGCATTGGATCAGAGTTAGTGGCGTCAACCCGAGCCCTGTTTTTGTCAAGCTAACTATTGTGTCTCACTGCAAGGTTCCGAAGCAACACATGTCATGGCTTGGGTGTCTCGAATTCACCCTTTTGTACTTGTAATTATGGAATTAGTATGTTTATGACTTTACTACTTCTATTTTGGCTATAGGATTTAATTCCCTAGTTTGTGTTTTGCTGTTGTATATAGATAAATTGTGAACTTAAGTGTTTTGTGAATGTATGACTAAGTATATGAAAGTTTGTTTCCATTTAGGTCCTCACAGTTCATTGGACGATATATTTTATTATTGATTGACTTCCGCCAGCCCCTTTTATTTTATTATTATTATTATTATTATTGTTAAGCAAGCTTTCGGTAATCACGGTTTACTAGCCGATTACGATGCTAAACCCATAGGGGCGGGTTTGGATTGTGACACAACCCCCTGCACTTCTGGTCAAATCTTATTTTGGTCCCTCCACATGAAATTGTGATAATCAACTCCCTGTACTTTTGGTTAAATCTTACTTTGGTCCTTACACAAGTGTCAGTATTTCATTTTTGTTACTCAATTGTTTAAATCTTTAACAGAATTTAATCATGTGATAAAAATGTAACTACAGCACGAGAATAAGAAAGGACAACCATCTACATTTTTTACCAATACACACTTTATCCTAAAATTTATATCAAAATATGATTGTATTATGTTAAAACAAAACGCAGATTATGAACAATCAAAAAGATGAACTAGAGTTTTGCATAAATTGAAATCACGAAACTCTATTTTTTACAATAACACAATCTTTTATCTATTCGTCATTCTTTTTCTTTAATTTCTTTGTCATATATTTTTTTTTTTTCAAAAGCTCCTTTTTTTTGTTTTTTTTTTTTTTTGCATTTTTGTCCTAATTTTTACTATTCAAACATATATGTTTATTGTATTATATAATTATCATGTACTTATCACGTAGGACAAAGTGTATTGGTGGGAAATATAGATGATTTTACTCTTTTATCCTCATTTCGTAGTCACATTTTTATTATATAACTAGATTTTGTTAAAAATTTAAAAATGAAGTAACAGAAGAGAAAAATTAACTCTTGTGTAAGGATCAACATGTGATTTGAGTAAAAGTATAGGGGGTGACTGTCACAATTTCATGTGTAGAAACCAAAATAAAATTTGATTAGAAATGTAAGGGATTAATTGTCATGATTTCATGTGTATTTCATGTGTAAAGGCCAAAGTGAAATTTGATACAAAGTGCAAAGTGTAATTTACCCATATACTTTTATTTTATCTAATTTCATACACTTTTTTTTTTCATCTACATTTACTCAATTTTTTTCCCAAATTCTTCAACTAAATACAACAAAAATACAATGCCCGATACCCAAAACCCAATACGCCAAAGCCCCCAATACCCAAAGCATCCTACCGAATAAAACCACGCCGAAAACCACGCCAGCAAATGCCGATCCACTTCACTGATCCACCATGAACAATCTCCTCTTCCTCTCCCTCTCCTCTTTTACCCCGGCCACCATCCATTACCGATCCACTTGCCCCACCTCCCTTTCCTTTTTCAAACTGATCATCATCCATTACCGATCCTGTTTCGCACCAAACCATCACCGCAAACTTCACCGCGAGCATCGGTGTTATCCTTTTCCTCCAATACATCTACTAAATCGAACACCCAAGACCGAAAACAACCCACCTTTCCTGCCTCTACATGAACCCTCTCACACCAACGTCACTCCTCACCATGGAAGATATGGAGCTACCGAACACCCAACCAACACCCATACACCCCCAACAACACCCATCTAAAATCGCCGAAAACAACACCCAAATTACCAATAAAAGACTAAAAAGCATGACTAAAACATATATTTTATATCCAAATCTTTTCTTCTAAACTACTTTTGTATAGATTAGATCGTAAAATAGCACAAAATTTAAAAATATAGTAGGACCAGTATATGAGTAAAGAATGAACATGATTAGCATAGTTAAACATGAACAAAGTGGCCAAATCGATCAGAATAAAATGACCGAGCTAACTAGAATAGAATGACCAAATTGACCTAAAAAATGTACTATAACAACTCTTAAAAATCAGACAATTAACCAAGACTGTGTAAAATACCGTTCAATCCATTAAAACAACACTAATCCATACTACTTTATTCTCTATTAAACTTTAAAATTTATAATCCACCTTCGAAACTATTCTGCTCTGCTATAGTAAATACATAAATGGTTTTAACTTCTAACGAAATATCAAAATAAAAATGAATGTGAAAGATATTCAAAATGTCAAATTCGCTACAAATTAATAGTTATATATATGAAAAATATTATGTAAAATTCGTTTGTATTATATATATGAAAATATTATGCAAATTAATGTTATATATTATGCAAATACTTAATAATTGGTTAAGAATATTCTTCAATCTGTCTCAAACCGCGATTTGATTATTTGGCAATACGCCATTTGATTTATAATTTTACTCTGAAACCACTCGAACCGCACCGTGCACACTGCTACCATTAATTACGACATCTACCATGAAAATCCTAAGTGATTCGTGATTAGATCAAGATTTAAATATTCTAATTCCCAATCAATCAAAATACACAATCAACAAGCACTTACGAAAGTGATTTAGATTGTTGTTTTCAAATTAAACAATAAATCGACACAAACAATTTTTACGTGGAAAAACCACAATTAAAGCACCTTCAATTGTAATAAAAAACCATGGGCAAAAGGCCACTAATCAATCCACTACTAAAGAAAGAAAGATTACAAAGACAGCCAACAAATTACCAAACGCTTCAAATTTGTCTTCAAGCCTTCTGAAAATCTTTCACCACAGCCTTCATCTCGGAATTGATCAGTATGAAGTTGAATCCACAACTTCTAATATCGAATCAATGACTACGTACAGTATCAAACTCCTTTGATGCTCTACGCTTGAATCTTCGGATTCCATCGAAGAAGAACACTCTTGAATATTAAGAAACAAACTCCTTGATGTATGTATCTTAGACCATAGGTTTCAAACCCTCTCAAATATATCAAGGAAAACTCACAAAAACTTCAGAGCAAAACTTCAAAAGAAACCCTAAGACTCTTAAAGAAGATCTAGGAAAAGTAAACCCTAAAATCATCCTAAAACAGATATATATAGAAAATAGAGGTCGCGATCTCCGCTCGAGCGGCTTCAGTAAAATACGCGTGTGACCAAATAGGTTTTCGCTCGAGCGCTGGACCACACGCTCGAGCGCGAAATCACACTTCTCAGTATGTTTATAGACACGACCAACTGCTAAGATAGCATATATTACGCTTAAGCGCCAATGGTCCCGCTCGAGCGGGAAAGTCAAAAAATAAGGAAAAATTATAACTTTTCAAAACAAAGTTTGTACGAGGATTTGACAATAAAAGGACCTAACAATCTCCCCCTTTGTCAATTCCCAGACAAAACTCTTCTAAACAATTTTCCATAAAACACATGCATTAGACAACCCCAACACAACCTATTGAACATTAAGAAAACAAAACTGAAGCCTTACAAAAAGGTTGAGTTAACATTAGTCATCCACTTGTGAATCAGAGAGCAACACAAAAAAAAACAAATGTGGAACTTCATAAGAATATAACAAATGACTATGAAATAACTAAAGTCCACAAAAACAACAGATATATATATATATATAAAAACAACAACTATAGCCAAAGTATATCAAAGTATCCAAACCAAACCACCAAATATCCAAACTGTATTATCCACCAAATATCCATACTGTACCATCAAACATTCCAAAATTCTCCCCCTTTTTGGCCGGGAGACAAGGAGTAAAACAGTCCAACAAACAAAGATTTGTGAAGCATCAGGGGGAAGAGGAGGCTGCTGGATCTGAAGCAAATAGATAATATGAGAGAGCTAAGTAGTAGTCTGGACGACGGACTGCTCCAACTGTCCAAGGCGGCCATCGAAGGCATCAAACCGAGCATCCAGAAAATCCAACCGCTATGTCACAACCTCCTCAAAATATCGAATCTAGTCATAAAAAGTCCGGGGTGGAACATCATCCTCCTCAGCACCAACTATGGCAACATCAATCTCTGCCTCATCAGCAAGTCCAGCTGCTGTACTTGTGGAAGTACCAACCCTAGAAGACTTCCCCTTGACATGTGCACGACTCTGGGAAACAGTCATCTTAGTGAAGGGCCTAGATGGAAAGGTATACTCATCATCCTCTAAAATTGGAACGTCAAGCCGGGACAAGAGACGGTTGATTAAACAACCATAAGGCCTAATTGCTTGTTACCAAAGACAGCAATCATCTTACGAAGAATAAGGGTGGCAAGATCGATGGACATATGATGAGCAATAAAGAAAAGAACGAACCCCTGTTCTTGATTGATTTCAGAAGAGTGAGTGGTGACAATAATATTAGCACACACAATAAGATTAAGTAGTCGAAACTCAGGAAGGAGTTCAAACTGTTTAATCAAAGTGCCCTTGATCCAGTTACGAGAAGCACCACACAAAATTTCAGCCACGACATTAAAATCACAAGTAAGACGAACCGGAAAAGGATAATGTTCCGGAAACACATGGTCAATACTAAGAAGCCCTCTAATAAGCTCAGGAGTGATAGAGATGGACTTAGTCCGAACCCACGTGGTGAAGGAAGGACCAATATCATCTATATTCTCAATATTGCAGAAAAACTCAAAGACCTAGTCTAGATTTTGGCATCCAGAGAAGGATAAAACCAAGTCTCCACCTAATGGATTAAACAAAGGACGGATGGGAATAGACTCGAAGGTATTTGGCTGGACATGACGTTCGAGATGAACAGTCCTAGACGCAAACGACTTTCTGAATAACTTGGCTTGTTTGGCAGAGGGAAATCTATCGGGATTAAACGAAGGACGAGACACTGTAGACTTGCGTCTTTTGGGAGCAGACATGGTGACACCAAACACAACTGAAGCCCAAACAAAACAATCCCAAAAACCAAAGCAACAGAGCACAGCAAAGATTAGTAACAGTGTTAGAAATATATTAAAACCTAGCATAATAACAATGACAGACTCAGAGCATAATATGAATGACAGTATAATGAAAATAAGGCACTAATTTGTATCCAAAACCTAGCAAATCTGAACCAAACTCACCAAATCAACATGTAATTAAGAGATGAGAGAACACAATGAAAGGCATTAAAACAACAACTTAGAACCCTAGAACTATGGACACAGCAGACTACATAAAAACTCAGTAAACTCACCATTAAGATGAAACCAAGACTCGGTGATAATGTGTGAGGCAAAGGAGAAAAAAAATAAACAAAAAAGAAAAAAAAAAACAACTGAAAGACGACCTCCACAAGAGCTGAAAGAACAGAGGAAAAAACAAAGAGAAAGGGAGGGAGAAACTTACCAAGGTTGAATCGGAGATAAAAGAGGAAGGAGGATGGCAATATCAGGCCCAATGAGGTCGCAATCCAAGCCCTAGGGAAGAGAGACTGAAAAATGGGGAAAAAATTAACTGAAGGGCCATGGGAGCGAGAATTTAAACCAAACCAGTCCACTCGAACGTGCAATTTAACGCTCGAGCAGGATCCAAAGAATGCGCGGATCCGCTCAAGCTCGAAATAGGTCGCTTGAGCGCCTAAAAGACCCTCTCAGAACTGCAAAACCCAACACTAAATGCTGAAATGAAGAATTTAGCGGGGACAAAACTCCAAAACCCACCCCCCTTTTTTAAAATAAAAAAAAAAGAAAATAAACCCAAAAAAAATAGCTTGAACAGAGAAAGGTGAACTATTAACCAAAGAAGAGTATGATTGGAAGAAAGTAATACTAGGATAAAATGATCCATACTCCATGCAGCCTGTAAACAAGTTTACTAAAAGAAAAAAACTATGAACCACAAAAGCATGAGCAAACCAGATAATATTCAATCAAGGATCATAAGCAACATGAGAATACATAACTCAAAAACAACCATGAGAGCTCACATGAAAAATGTGTGTGTGTGATCCTTGAGAGGCCATAGAGCTAGAGTTAATCCTCGTAGTGATCGGATGGCTGGACCTCCGGCAAGAGTCACTGAACATCACAGAGAAAAGTCAAACCACTAGGAATCACGGGGTAGTTGTTCAGTAAACGCGGAGGCTCGCCCTCAATTAATGATTCCCTTTTTTTTTAACTTTTCTTTCTTGTGGACACTCACTGGTGGCATGCACGCTCAAGAGTATGGAGACCAAACCAGAGAAGGATGAAATTAAAAAAGATGGCCTGGTTGGTGCCTCTGAGGTAGCCTTTTTCTAATGCCCGAACTTCAATGAACTGAGGGAGAAACCATGGAAGTGAACAAATGATGGTAGATGGTTAAGAGACTCAACATCACCCATGATATACTAGTATAGGTCAATTCCTCTGAAAAAGTACAAGAAACACTATTAGTGGTCCATAGGGAACTTTGATCACTTGTGCGGAAACCCCTGCAAAGTTTATCTCAAGTATGTGTACAAAATGAGATCATGAAGTAAATGAGCATGGGCATTCAGAATGAGCTATGAACAAAGAAGAATGAGATCTTGAAAGCAGTATGAGCAGTGTCATAAAAATTTTTGATGCAAAATAACAGGAATCAATGACTATGGGATTATAGCATCCAAGCACACAAAAAACAATCAATCACTCCCCTTCAAGTAACAGGTAACACCCCAGTGACTGAGTACGACACCCAAGGTCTTTCTAAGGAACTCAAACCGAAGAAGATCAAGGAGTTTTGTAAAAATATCAGCTTTTTGATGCTCATTGGGTACATGTTCAAGAACAACAAGGCCTTCTTCCACTAACTCTTGAATAAAATGATGACAAATGTCAATGTGTTTGGTCCGAGAGTGTTGGACAAGATTTTTTGAAATATTTATGGCACTTGTGTTATCACAGAAAAGAGTGAGAGTGTTCTGATCTATCCTATAATCATGAAGCATTTGCTTCATCCATAGCATTTGTGCACAACAACTCCCTGCAGCAATGTACTCAGCCTCTGCAGTCGAAAGAGAGATGGTATTTTGCTTTTTACTCTGCCAGGAAACCAAATTATTCCCAAGGTAAAAACACCCCCCGGATGTACTCTTCCTATCATCAGCACACCCTGCTCAGTCGGCATCAGAAAAACCAGTAATTTCAGCTGTAGTATCAGTAGAAAACCAAACCCCATACCCCAATGTCCCATTAACATATTTAATTATGCGTTTGACCGCAAGAAGATGAGACTCTTTAGGACTGGCTTGGTAACGGGCACAAACACCTACACTAAATGCAATATCAGGATGACTGGTTGTAAGGTAAAAAAGACTCCCTGTCATACACCTATAAAGGGTAGGATCAACATCAATACTAGAGGAATCTTTGGAAAGGTGAAGACTAGTGCTCATGGGAGTGCGTGCATGTTTGGCAGACTCATGACCAAACTTTGACACAAGATTTTTAGCATACTTAGTCTGAGAAACAAGCACACCCGAAGGAGACTGTTTAATTTGAAGACCCAAGAAATAAGACAACTCTCTCATCATGCTGATCTCAAACTCATGTATCATGCAATCCGAAAAATATTTCACATGATGATCAGCAGTGGATCCAAACACAATATCATCAACATAAATCTGAGTAACAAGAATATGAGACTTAGTATGTTTCACAAATAGAATCTTATCCACACTACCCCTTTGAAAGTCTTTATCAAGAAGAAAGGTAGTAAGTCTATCATACCAAACCCGAGGGGCTTGTTTCAACCAATACAAAGCCTTGTCTAACTTGTAGACCTGGTTTGGACATTTAGGGTCCTCAAACCCTTTTGGTTGCTTAACATAAGCCTCTTCTTTCAAGTACCCATTCAGAAAGGCACTTTTCACATCCATTTGAAACAATTTAAAACCAAGAAAGCAAGCAACACCAAGTAAAATTCGAATAGATTTGAGACGTGCAACTGGGGCAAACGTCTGATCATAGTCAACACCCTCTGCTTGTGTGTCGCCTTGAGCAACTAACTTGGCTTTATTTCTAACCATAGTACCATTCTCATCAAATTTATTTTTAAAGATCCACTTGGTACCTATCACATTCATGTCTTTAGGTCTGGGAACTAGAGTCCAAACATTGTTACGTTCAAATTGACCTAATTCTTCATGCATAGCATTAACCCAACTATCATCTAGTAAGGCCTCTTTAATATTCTTAGGTTCAATTAATGAAACATAACGCATATGAGATACCTCATCCCAAATTTGGCTTCGGGTTTTCATTCGACCCGATACACTTCCAATCACCTGTTGAGCTGGATGATTCAGTTTCACCCTTGCTGATGGTTTGAACTCAGGACTTGCGGTGACAGAAGCATCAGTAGTGGTGTCTTTCTGAGCACTCTTTGGACTCTGACTTACCTGTGAGGATGGTGCTGTCTTAATTTCTTGTGATTGGACCTCAGCTTCTCTTTGACTTTGTGGTTCAGTATCCAAGATTGGAGACTCACCATTTTCATCCTCATTTGTTGCTGGAGTAGGGGAACCTGTGTCATCTATAACCACATTATTGATTCCATTAAAGAAGAAGTTTGCAGGTTATAGACTCGAAAAGCCCTACTAGTGGTTGAATACCCTTGGAAAATACCTTCATCACTTCGGGAGTCAAATTTGCCCAAAGGCTCTCTATCTTTGAAAATGTAACACTTACTCCCAAAAGTTTTGAACTATTTTACATTAGGTTTCAATCCCTTCCACAATTCATATGGAGCTTGTAAAGTGTCGGACCTTAAATACACGCGATTTATGACATAAACAACAGTATTTAGGGCTTCAGCCTAAAACTTTGGAGGAAGCTTCTTACTAAGGAGCATGACCCTAGCCATCTCTTGAACAACCCTGTTCTTCCTCTCTACTACTCCATTTTGTTGTGGAGTAATAGGTGCAAAAAATTCATGCTTAATCCCATGCATATCACAAAAATCCGAAAACGAACTATTTCAAACTCACGACCATGATCAGTTCGAATTCTTATGATACGCCCAATGGAAACACCCTGTTCAATTTGGATTTTAAGGACTAAGGTCTAGAAAGCATCAAACGTATCAGATTTTTTCCTTAAAAAATTTACCCACGAAAATTGAGTAAAATCATCAACAGTTAAAAAAATGTATCTTTTACCTCCGATGCTTTCAGTGCGAGTAGGTCCCATTAAGTCCATGTGAACCAATTCAAGAGGACGTTTGGTTGTAAAGCTGTTCACCTTTTTATGAGGGGCACGAGTCTGCTTTCCAAGTTGACATAGTCCACACGCATGTTTTAGATTCTTACCCAATTTAGGCACTCCGTTCTTTGTTGGCTATCTTAGTTAGGTCTTTGAAATTCACCTAATCTTTGATGCCACAAATCAATGTTACTTATGATGGCTGAGTGACAAGTGAGATCATTAGTAGTAACAATCCCATAGCAGTTATCAGATATGCGAACCCCATGCAAGACAGTATTTCCCTTTTTATCCAAAATTTCACATTTATTTGTTGAAAACAAAACCTCGTGATGGGAATCACACATTTGACTAATGCTTAAAAGATTTGCTTTAAGACCATCAACAAGTAAAGCATTTTCAAGCTTAGGAAGACCAGCTACACTTATAGAGCCCTTACCAA